GTGAGGAGTGAGGATCTAAGTATTATATTTTTAAAAACAATAATATGCATTTGAATTTGGTGAAAGTCTAGTTAAAACTTGACATGTACAAATTTGATAACCAATTCTTTAAGTTGAAATGTTATACTACTTTTAACTGCTTGGGTTAAAACTACACTGAAATTTTACTATAAAATTAATTAAAAATATTATTAATAATTCAACTACTTAAAAGCACATAAAAATTCATACTCTTCACAAACACAGTATAAGGTTTTATTTAATTTTAAGGAATATTCATGAATTGCACCAATAGATCCTCAGCTCAGTGGTAGAATTTTCATAATTTCTTTGGACATAAAAGTTGCACATTGTTGGGTGCAACCAAAAAAATTGCGGCTGACAGAGGAAGGAAGAGGACACGTATATTTATCATGTGGCACATCTTTTTAAGGGTCCTCTTTATTCATATTTTTCTTTTCCTTTTTGGCATTTGATTTGGGTAATAAAGCATAATCTATTCCGGTTCTGCTTTCTTGAAATTGGAGATCAAAGGTTTTGTTATGGGTTTGCTCGCGATCTCAGTGCTCTCTTGGATTTTCATGTCGGATAAGCTTCTTGATTCACAGCAAGCCATTTCTGCTTTTGATCACATGGTTTTGGTGATTAAGGCTTATAAGGTAGTTGATGTTCTTAATCTTGATGATAGTTTCTGTGAGTATGAATTTGCTTATAAGTAGTTCAATAATTTCTTTTATTGTCATTTAATTTTATAGTGAAACTTGAACTTTCTTCGTGAAATGTATCAGAGTAGGTTGTAAGTTGTCTAACATGTGAATCCCAAGGAGTTACATATGTTTTATGTCACTCAATTTCTGTTCTCCACGTATTAAACTTGAACTTTCTTTGCACGTGAGATGACGTGTTGAGCATATGAATCTCACAATCTCACATTAGATAAAGAAGAGACTTTCCATGTGCTTATAAGTAGTTAATATACTCTCCATATTGTCAATTGGGTTTTGTGATAGAACCACAAATTTCTTTAAAAGGGGACTAGCTGTGGCTTCGCCACAGTAGTTCACTTTTCAAAGGCTGGGAATACTCATAAAGACATTTTAGCCTCTCCTAACCACCAATGTATGATTTATCAGGTCCAAAAATCAAACTCAATACATACATACATGTTTGAGTGAACCTTCTTCTTCAACCCTTGGACCACGTATGTGTTGTACGTCTGGGCTTGTTTCCTCGTAACTTGAGGATACTGTTGGTGCATTTTTAATAGAATAAATTAATTATAATTGTCACTAATGTATTGTAGTGGGAAATAAGATATCATAGCTTTTCATTTTATATAGTTTTTGTAACTCATTCTTGTTTATTTGCGTTTATTGTTCTTTTAACTAAGGATTGATAATAAATATATATTCAACAGCATTTTCCCCATCATCTTTATTATTCATAGGCTTGACAATTTATTGCACAATCCGTTAACCAGACATGAAACAACACAATAATAAAGGATTTTAAGTCAACCCATTAACGGATTGCGTCATTATTGAGTCACTTGTTAATAACCTGTTAAGAAAATAAGCCTGACAAGAAAATGACACAAACATGACAAATATGACCGTTTTCCAAGCCTAACTCTTTATAGACTTGATAATTTATTGCATGACTCATTAAACCGACACGAAACGACATGAAAATAAAAGGCTTTGAGTCAATCTGTTAACAGATCTGGTAGTTATTGTTTCATCCTGTAAGACCCGGTTAAGATAACAGGTTTGACACAACATAACAGGTATGACACGAAAATGACATTATACGACAAACACGACAGTTATTCTCTCCAATCCTTCATCATTCCGTTTTTTCTTACTCGCCAAAGTGGGGTGTTTGTGTGGTGGAGCTTCGTATTTTTTTTTTTTTTTTGGGTGTGCAGATAGGTTTGAGTGACACCACAATTCTGCTGAGATGTTGTATTTTGGATGGACAAGTCCAGATATACAGCTGCACCAGTTCATGAAATTTGTCAAATTTCATTGGCTTGAATCTTTAAAAGAGCGAGATACATGTGCCTCAGCCTAATTGTCTACATACTACTTAGAACAATTTTATTTCATTGTAACTTTTATTGTGATTTTTCTTGTAATTTTCCAACCAGAAAATAACAAAGCAAAAGAGCTGCAACCATGCAGTTAAGTAAGAAATAGATGTCTATCAAGAAGACACTCGGAAACTGGAAGGATAAATAACCCCCACGCGGTGGAGTGCCGAGCTACAAGTCCCACGACACAGGAGCGGCATTCTCTAAAAAGCACGGTCCTTACAAAGGCAGCTATGGATCAATCAAACTGAAGGAGATAAATCCACGTTGAGCTCAACACTGTTACTCAGATGAGGTTCCTTCAATTGTCTGGCAAAAAGTAGCGCTCCCTTGCATGCTTTCAGCTAACATGCACGACTCGTATTTGGTCAACCGGCATTTACAACTTGAGCGAAGCAAACTTGAATCTAAAATTGAGGCCTACATATTTGCCTATCCCTGAGGAATTTATCATCTTCGCTAGTAGTAGTAGGGTTTTATTGTGAAAATTAAAACCACCATAATATTACTAACTTTCCATGATTATTTATGCTTGTCATAATAGTGCTTTTTTAAATATATAGGAGTGATTACACCACACTTCGATAACAGTATAATTCTTCTCTACATGTAGTCATATATCACATGAGGTGACAACTGACATCAAATTGTTCAAATTGTATGCCAAAACAAAGTCGGTGACCCTAACACATACATCTGTAAAAGTACAACTACAGTATCGTCAATTTGGTTAATTTCTTTCTAAAATTAATAGTTGTCATCGTCAGTTGTCTAACTTGTCTGCCAATCACCCACATATACCTGTTGCTCGACCATTTTTTATTTATTTATTTTTGTTTCTCAAAATGCTCATAACGCAGTTATTCTCCAAGCCTATTGGTATTATCCAATTATTATGATATTATCAAGGGTATTTTCAGTTTACGTAAAATTTCTTGTTTTTCAACATTTTATACATCAAGTTTTTTCATCTTAGTCTAGTAATTAAAATGATTAATTTTGAGACACATTCATATATCCGTTAAACTTTATGTTAAAGAAACCATCAACCTATGACCAGGGCCGTCTCTGAGATTTCGGGGGTCCTTTGCGAAATTTATAAAAGGGCCCCTTTTTAAGAGACATATATATATTTTTTAAAATTTGACAATATATTGGTACTAGAAAATAATAACTTAAATTAAAACAACCTTTAGGACTCACTGATTTTAAGTTTACAAGTGTCATTAAATAAGTAAAAAGAGTTACAAGTAGAATATTCACTAAATAATAAAAAAACAGTTTAATCTTAAGCAATCAAATAAAAAAAAAAACTTCAAAAACTCTAACTTTAGAGTTTCACTTGAATATATAGCATTATTATATAATTAATAAAATTGAAAAGAAAATCGTTTTGTAAGGTGTTGTTATTAGTACTCATAATATCTCATTGTGCACTCCAAATTTTTGTATTTAGAAAGAAAAAAAATTACACTTATAAAAGTGCACTATAAAATTTTAAAGTGCTAATAAAAGTATTTTTTTAATATATAACATTATTACATATAAATATAGGATACCAAAATTTTTTGGAGGCCCTGTGCAATTGCACCTTTCGCTCCCCCTCAGCGCCGCATCTGCCTATGATGTGGCACATACGTGGACAATGCCTAGGTGCTACGCGTGAATTTGGGTGCACGTGGATATTAAAAAATTGTAAAAAATTAAAAATTAAAAAAATTTAAATTTCAAAAACTTAAAAGGTAAAAAAAAAAAAATCATTTTACCAGAACCCGCACCTAATAAACGCATCCCAGACTTCCTTAGAAACCCTACCACAGCCCCGCCGCCCACACGTACGTCGCCGCTCCAACGGCGTCAAGGTAGGAAAGGGGCTTCGGGAAGGTTTGTCGCCGACGACGATGGTGGCGGAGATGGGTTTGGAGGCGGGAGGAGGGGTTTTAGGTTTTTTTTTTTTCATGAGAATTATCACCCAGTTTTAATATGCAAAAATCAAAATTGCAATCATCACCCAATTTATCTCTCTAAACCCTACTGATGGTGACCTAGACCCTCCAATCCTCAGGCCCTCACACTCTTCGGCCTCGTCAGCTTTACCGAATCCACCAGCGGAGCCACAACAGGAACCAAATTTGCCACCAAAGCCGCAACCCAGAACCATGTCCTAAAACCTAAGCATCACTGTCCTCAAAACACAGATGAGACAGAGGAATCTGCATAATAATGGCGAATCGGGCATTGACGACCCAGTTACAGAACTTGATACGGAACTGGGAGCGCACCCTCCAATTCTAGGCGCAGGGCTGTTTACGGATGTATGAAAGGGCTTCAAAATTATCACTTTAGGTACGAGTATGAGAAATAAAACTTGACTGAAAACCAAGAACTTGAAAACTGAGAATTACCTATTATCTGTTTGATTCATTGTGAGTTGTTGCCCTTCCATAAAAGGCGAAGCTGAGTTCTAATGAATATTTATTTTTTTGTAGTACACTCATTTGTTTTTGAAAGTGACATTTTATATCCTTCCCACACATATTTTCTCTCGCAAAATGACCACCACCTACTCATTGCAACCACTAACCTTACACCACCATCACCACCGCAATCACAACCACCATTGTTGCAACCCCCACCACAACCGTTGCCACCGTTGCTGATATCAACCCTTCCACCATTACTACATCTACACCCCCAACCACCACACCCCGATATATTTGCACAACCACCATACCCTCTCACCATTATCATTACAAAAGCACCACCATCGCATCATCGCCGCTTCTCCACCATATATTTTAATTTATACAAATCTATAGCACTTTTTTTTTATGGCAGTGCCATGGTCCATGGCAAAAGAAATAAGTTGTCCACCGAACTTTTAAATTGAAAAAGCGAAGAGCATGGATGGAAGAGAAAAAGTAAGGCACAATGATTATTTTCTCCATTACAGGAAATTCAATCTCCTAAAGTTTTATCCCGAGGATTCATTTTTACAGCTGAAATTTTAATTACGACACAATCATATTCCCGCACGGTTTGGCAAGGAAATACCTTGGTTTCCTCTTTCTGTCTGTCTGTCTGTCTCTCTCTCTCTCTCTGTCTCTATCCTCTCTCTCTCTCCCCTCTCCCTTGCCTTCATCCTGCAGTTGCTCTCCAACTTCCACTTTTGCACAACGGAGATCACAGTACATTAATTTATACACAACTCCACTTTCATGGATTGTATTGTTGATGCTTTAGCTCCACTGATCAGGACAGTACCACTGAAGTGAAGGTGCTTGCTCATCGGAGAAGAAGCTACAGGCCTCCTCACTGCTAAAGAAATTGTGCTCCTCTACCTTCACCAAAGGCTGGTAGCTCTTCTGGAACGGAAAGCAATTCATCGACGATGACGACGGCGAGGAGGACGAGGAGCAGTTGAATTTGAGTGAAGTGGAGGCCGGAGACTTGATCAGCTGATGGTTTTGGAGGATGCCAGATGAAGACATAGTCAAGTTTGGACTGTTATCTTCGTTCAAGATCGCACTCGAGTCACTGTCCGAAGAGCCATCTTTGAAATCTGGGAACAATGAGACGGCTTCTAGTACTCCACTTGTGTTGTTGAAGCTCTCAAAGTTGAGCTCGTTACACTCTGTTTCTGGAACAGAGGATCCCGGAGGCGGTGGCGGTGACTGGCTCCGCTCCTGAACCACTTTGTAACTCTGATCTTTTCCCAAGAGTTGCTCTTCTTTCACGGTGGGATTCTTGCTCGCTGCGTTATCTTCTTGCAACTTTGCCTTCAATTGCTTTATCTGCAAGACAACAAATAAAAAGTTGATCCAAGATTTAGATCGTAGCCACAACTGGATTATCATCGCGACATGTCATGTTATGGTGTCAAACTGTAGATCTAAGCCGCATACTAAATTGAAAACACACATAATTTGAGGTTGGACACAAAACTTGACATATCAAACCGTTGACAATCGAACATTTACTTGTATAAGATGAACTTTAATTACGAAAGCTTATTAACCATGGTTAACATATTAAGTCTCAAACTGTTTGACAAAAGAACATTCACAGCGATAGAGTCGTGGATCATATATATACCTCCTTGAGAAGGGCTTCGTTGTCATGTTGAAGGGTATCGTAGTTCCGCTTGACAGTGTCGTAATTGGCTTTGAGAACGCTATAATCGCGCTCCAATTGTTTGGTTTTCCAACGAGCACGGCGGTTCTGGAACCACACGGCAACTTGTCTTGGTTGGAGGCCTAGTTCTTGGGCAAGCTTCACCTTTCTTTCAGGTTCAAGCTTGTTCTCCACCTCAAAGTTTTTCTCTAAGGCCTTCACTTGTTCAACGCTCAATCTCCTCTTCTTCTCGGAAACATGGCCGGCTTCTTCGACACACCCTTCCTCATCTAAGCCATCCAACATGGACTGGAATTCTCTGCTGTAAACATGGTTGTTTCTTGGACTGTGTTCCTCTGCAAACAAAAAGCCAATCAAATCTAAGTTCTTCCAAAAATTTGACAACAATCCACCGTAAAGCCAATTGACAATATAAAAAGTAGTACATATGTCCCTTCTTTTCCCGACGTGGAATTCTATATAGATATAGATACGTAGGCTTGAAATTAAAATTCCCAAACAGTAAAAAGAACAATACAAGACATGGATTGAATTCAACAACCAACATGATGAACATAAAGAAGCAACAGTGTGTCATGATCTCAAAGGTTATGTTTTTTCTAGGTGCTCGATCATGAAAAAGGTAACAAACAAAAGAAACACAGACATGGTATGTCTAAATCTTGGGGAAACACCAATAGAAGAAAAATAAAGGAATATTCAAATAAATAAAATGTACATTTTATTAAAATTAAAACTAAAATTCAAAAGTTAACCTGTTGTTGGGCAGATGGAAATCATAGCACCAAAGGAATCTGAACTTCCAAGCCTCTTCATGATTAGTGACCGAGCTAAAACAAGTTTAATACCAGATCTTATCAGATCAAGAAATTAAACCAATCAAAGCTCCTTTCTTTTTTTTTTTTCTTTTTTTCTTTTGTTAATGTTTTTGTTGTTTTTTGTTTATGTTTCCCAGTGGATCTTTTAATTTAGAGGAAGAACAAGTAGTTTACTTAAACGAAGCAAAGGAAGATGGAACACAAGTACTGCTATGTCTGAAACAACTAGACAAACTTGTGTACAGCTGTACAACAACCTACTTCCTCTCTCTGCTGCCTCATGATCCTTCTCATTCAATCCCACTTCTTCTCCTCCTCCCTCAGTACCCATCAAAATTATACAAAACCCAAAATCCGACACAACCCAGAAAACAAAACCCAACAAGTTATCCCAAAATTGTGCCCAAAGGACAAGTAAATCAACCAACTTATACACACTCTCTCTCTCACTCTCTCTCTCTCACTAAATCATTACTTAATCAACTAAGCATAGTCTGTGACTGTTCATCTACTACAATGAGAAATAATCAGAGATTTAGAGAGAGAGAGGAGAGTGAAGGATTTCACAACCCAGCAGGGCTGTCACACTCTCTCTCTTTAAATAAACCAACTTGGGTTAGATATTGGGTTAGAATCTGACTGGGGTTAGGTACAATACAGACTAACACACTGCACAAAGTTGCAAATGAAATGAACGTAAATTCGATCCAAATGCAATTTCTTCTTCACCGGCTATAGCCCGTAGCCTTTCCGGTTTATGGCAGATATAACATCTAATATGAATTTTATATCGAGTTTGTACGGTTCAGCGTCTAACGGCTCGGCTTTAATTTAGCTGGAGCCAGATTCGGGTGGCGTCAGCGTATCATGTGCAGTCACTACGTCGTGGTCGGTGCGATTAATCGTCGATAAATATGGTCCAATCCACTGCCCTTCCGGCTTCTGTTTTTTCTTTTCTGTGTTCTCTCTCTCGTCAATAAGTAGTTGTAATCATAATAGTATGGGCTGGAATAATGTTAGGTTAAGGATGTGCTATCCACACACTTATTTTACTTCTCACACACCCCTTGATAATTTCGATTCATTGATCTTTTTCAATTCATCTGATCCGACGGCCGAAAATTAAAAAGGTGTGTGAGAAGTAAAATAGGGTGTGTGGATATCACACCCCTAGGTTAATCAAAATTTTTAAACAAAATAATGTGGTTGTTGATGATTAAATTATTACTTAAATATTAATTAATATTTTTATTTTCTATTAATCATCTATCATTTGATTTGTAAATTTAATTTAAATTTTTAATCGTTTTATATTATCTCTAAAAATGAGTAATTTAATGTAGGCAATGTAACAAAAAATTGCCAATTTTTAGATACACACATAGCAATCAACTAGCTTCCCGAGACATCAATGTTTTCAATTTTTTTTTTCTTTACAAATTATTTAAATAATAATAAATAAACAACTTTGGTGAATGAATTTTACAAAAGAATAGATTAATTTAGGTGTCCGTGTGAGGAAAAAAAAAAGAATGAGTAATTATACTTCCAGACATTTTTTTTTTCAAATTTGTTTAGACTAAACATATGTTACTTTATAAAATTTGATTATGATGTTTCGTGTAACATCTCACATCACTCAGGGAGCTCTACCTAGCACGAGGTATTTTGGAAGCTCACTAACTTCGAGTTCCATTGGAACTTCGAAGTTAAGCGAGTTCGCAGCGAGAGCAATTCCATGATGGGTGACCCACTGGGAAGTTCTCGTGTGAGTTCCCAAAAACAAAACCGTAATGGTATGTTCAAAGCTCAAAGCGGACAATTTCGTGCTATGGTGGAGTCGAGCCCGGGATGTGATAGGGGCCCGGGCCGAAATGTGATACTTCGGTCAATTGCCAACTCAGCAATTTTTTTATATTTAATATATATTCACTTAAGTTAGCTAACAACCAATTTCTTACAATCTAAGAATTTTAAATTCATGGCTTTATGAAAAATATTAATTTAACTAAAGGGTGTGATATCACACATCCTTTTTTACTTCTCTCACACCCATTTTAATTTTCGACCGTCGGATCGAATGAATTAAAGAATATCAAATGACAAAAATTAACAAGGGGTATGAGAGAAGTAAAAATGGGTGTGTGGATAGCACACCCTTTTAACTAATTCCTCATTATCACTTTATGTTATTATATTTAATTAGTCTCTTTATTCATTAAAAAAGTTCATTAATACTTTCATAAGAAAACTTCATTAATTTGTTTATGTTTACATAAAAAAATTGTATTTAAAACTTATGGTACATTTGTATAAAAAAACATACTAACTTTTAGATTCTAAATGTACCAAGAAACAAAATGTACCAGAAATAAAAATGTACCATAAAATCAAGGAACTTTAACAAAAAGCTCCCGGTACTGTTCACTTTAACGAAAAACCACATTTTTACACTAAAAAGTCAATCCTGGTACTATTCACTTTACCCTTTATTTTGTCCTTATCATTAAAACTCAAAGTTTTTAAGCCTTTTTCATTAGTTTTCCTTAAAATCAAATGTATCAATATAATAGATAATCAAACATACCTCTAATCAAATTGTTGAAAAAAAAAATGTTTAATCAAATTCTTAAAAGGAACAGATGTTTAATCAATAGAATTGAAAAACGAAGCGCCTATATCAAAATGTCCTAAAAATGAATAGATAAGTTAAACCTGAAAGATGAACAATAATTTTATAGCTTAATCTTGGCAGATAAACATTTAGGCCCCGTTTGTTTGACAGGATTAGGGAGGACTGGACTGGACTAGACTACAGTCCCTTGTTTGGTCTGCACCAGGATTAGGTTTAATGGAATTAGGTCTGACTCGCTAGGATTAAACCCCTCACTAGGAGTTCTAAGCGAAGTACCCCGATCACTCTCGGACTCGTAAGACCTCCTACGCTCCTGCGCTCCTGCGAGAGAGAACCTCGCTCAACCTCGATCCTCGACGTGCTCCCTCCTTGCCCTGCTCCCTCATCGTCGTCATCCTCATCATCATCTCTGCGTCTTGGTCGCCCTTAACTCCATCCTGCTCGCCCTCATCTGGTAAACTTCGAATCCAACATTATTTCTTCGAATTTTTTTTTAGCAAATCGTGATATTACTGGGCTTTATTTGATTTAGGTGTTTTGGGTTTGAGAAATTTTGAATTATAGACCTCTGCACTTGAACAAATTAGGGTTTTGATTTTTAGGGTCAAATTGAGATTAGGATTTGGGGTTTTCACATTTTATGCCATTTTGAGTACCAAAATGATGATAATCATCATGAAATTGCTGCTGTAAGGGCGGAAAACCCTATAGTTAATGGTCTTTTGCTGTCGACGAAAGAGTCTGCTGAAATGTATGCTGAGTTCTTGGCAGAGCTTGATGTTGCTCTAGGCTTCGATTGGTGGCTGATACATGCTTTTTAAGTTTGTATATCTTTTGATTCTGGTTTTCTAGGGTCTGTAGCTTTTAGATTTTTTTCTTAACCAGTCAATTGTTGATTTGGAATTGTATGTAAGTTTGAACCAACTTAAGTTGTACAATTTGATTATCTTATTCCTCGAATTAGACGTTATGCGAGACTGAAGCTTTACATCGTGTTTCAGGTGCAGGATTTGAACGTTCATGTTGATGTAGAGTTTCAATACAGATGAATAACTGGTATTAGGACTATACTTGAAGCTTTGCATTTGTAGTAATCGGGAATCCTTTAGTTTCACATACACTCGGGTGGTTCTAAGGTGATTTAAGATACTCTCGTACTTTTTTTCTTCTCTGATTTTTTAGCATGCTTTGGCGCTTTGTCACTTTGTCACATGGATAGAGGCCCATCACTTTGCTTTCTTAATTTATATGAACACTGTGTTGTACTTTTATAAGAAAATGGAATTGGGGATCAGATGATTTATCTTGGCGTGGTATACGCGGTGAATTGTGTTCATGTTTGGCTCGTTTTAGAATTTTTTGTTTTTTGGTCGATGGCTCGTTTTAGTTTAAATGCACTAGTTTAGTACTAATGTTTGATAGCCAAGAAACCGTTTTATTGACTTATCGGCTGCCAATGTCCGAGTTCTCTATGTACTTGGACGTGATGCAAGTCAGCAGTCTCTTATTCTGTTTCCAACTTTCCAGGAATATAGAAACCACAAAAACGAACTTTTGAACTAATTTAATCCTAAACCAATTTTTTGGCCCGCCTTTCACCGCTTGGGTTAACTAGGAGGGCTTGGTATGGTACATATGAGAAAGAACTTTGGTACACATTTAAAGTTTTCTATAAAACCCCCTGCTGCTACTCAGACGAAAGAGTAAAATTAGGGTAAGAAAGTAGTGGATTACAGATTTCCTCAAAGTTCTTCATCTTTTGGTGCCCCATCTTCTCAGCCTTGTTACCTTCGGCTCCCTCGTTTGCTACTTTGCTGTCTTATTTTTCTTAAGAAAGAAAACCCAATCGGAGGTCTTTCAGTGCAGTTTCAGGCTCCTCATACATGTTACGAACCCCGTGCGTATGTTGTGATTTTGCTTGATGTTGTGATTTTGTGTATGTTGTGATTTTGCTTGATGTTTTTGTAGTAATAATGTTCATGTGTTTGACAGTTCGAGGTTTGTCTGAGCAAACTGTTATTAGCAGTCTGAAAAGATCGTCTTGCACTGTTGGTTGGCATGTATTTTATGTCTCGTGTTTTTATTTTTTCTAAAAAAAGAGTGCAGAATCATCGTTTTGGACTACCAATTGTCCTCTTTTTTTAAGATTCATAATATACATGGCAAAAATGTGCTCCAATTAACCCATATCATGAGATTTGTAACATTACTCTATTACACAATGGCAAAAATTTGTAGTCCTACTCTAAGCAAACACAAATATGATGAACAGTAATGTTTTTATTATCCTGCTTCTTAGTCCGACACTGCACCAAACGCTTCACTAAGTTAGTCCAGCTTAGTCTAGTCTAAGCCAGTCCAGCTTAGTCCCTGCAGCTAGTCCAGTCCGAGACAGTCCGGCGCAACAAACGCACCCTTAGGGTTTGTTTATCAACGTTTTGTAGATAAAAAAATGGGTAAAGGATGCATTTGACGGATTGTTTTGCGAAAACAAAATGAGAAAATGAAAAATGCATAAACAATATTTAGCTTAAATTATGTAAAACATCAAATTGGTATTTCCTCTGTTTTTAAAGAATAATTTTCAAAATAATAAAAAATAAAAGATACATTGTATAACATTTTAAAAAGTTAGAGATTTAATAAAAAAAATAAAATAATGTGTATGTCACCACTACATCACCATTGCCATCACCACCACCATCATCATTGTAACAGCCCGTCCCGAAAGATATTCCTTGATTATGTGTGTTTATACCATACTTAGGGCCTCCGTATTTAGATCTCGTATAAATACTTGGGGGACTTAAATGTAATTATGTAATAAAAGAAGGGGTAAATATGTAATAAGTGAGGAGCCTTTATTCTATAAAAGGACCCTTCATCCTCACAATTGGGGAGGGCTCACTCTCACCCTCAGAGGCCAACTCTTA